GTAGAGCTTCCCATCGCTGTTTGGCATGGTTCTGGAAGTTGGTTTGGCTAAGGGGCTACTTACCCATCGATGGGATGTTCTTCCCATCGCTGGGTGGGTGGTTAGCCAAAAACCTATGGTTTTTGCCTTAACCACGACCTAGCCAACCGATGCAAAAACCGACCGAAAAATCCAAAGTTCTCCAAAATAAAAACCAAGTGTTTAAAACACTTATTTGATGTATTTGGCTAAGAAATCAAGAGAGACACTTTAAAAATCACGTCATTTGAGTAAAAACCACGGCTAGCCAAATTTACGCCGTTTTGCGTGGTTTTTGTCAAACGACTAAAAGCGAGAGATGGTTTTCAAAGTGTTTTTGTTGGAGAACCGCTTAAAAATGCCAAAGAGTGAAAGCAGATCATAAAATGCTGAAAACCACTTGGTTGGTTCGGATGCCAAAAAACCAAACCCGACAACCGAAAGCCGAACGCTGGTTTCTGAAAGCCGAACACTGGATGGCTTGGTTTTTGGTTTGGGCGAACACCAAGTGTTTTTAATGACTTAAACAAGTTTGAAAAACATTTTTATGATGTAATAAATGCAATGAGAGATTTTAGCCTAAAGAGCCAAGGTGTAAAGATTGGGTCGGTCTTGATCACAATAAAGACCGACTCAATACTATGATTAAGGTCTTCGTTCTTGGTCTTCGTTTAGCTCTTGCTCTTATCTTTGTTCTTCGCCTTGTATATTTAATGTTCGACTTGATCACGGCGGTTTGGCATTATCAAAACCTGTTACAAAAACGAACACGGCTTTAGTACGAAAACGTGACAAGCCCGTGTTTCAACAATTTCCCCCTTTTTGATAATGGCAAACAAGACGGGGTTATGCATAGGAGGATTATTTTGAAAAAAAGGTTCCCCCTTAATAGATGCCATTTTACAAAAAAAATTCCCCCTCAATTTATGCATAACCTTAATATCTTCCCCCTTTTGACATTAACAAAAAGAATTAAAAGTAAACTTTAGAATTGTAAAAGTAAACTTTTATTCATGAAAAAGGGAAATGCGGAATACAACGGAATGGAAATAAAAAATACAATCATAGTAAGAAGAGAAAAGAAAAGTCTAAGCATCGACATCCTCGTCGTCATCCTCGTCGTCCTCGACGTCCATGGGATCGCCGTCGACCGCATCTTCAAAGTCGGCCTCGTCGGGGGAGGAGGATGGAGCATAGGAGTTATCCTCCTCGTCCTCGCCTTCATAGTTTTGGCCGAGGAAGGTGCTGTCAAAGGGCGGCGGGACGTAGTTGATGCCGCGAAAGAACGCCGTCATGTCGTGGTGTTGGCGTTGCAGCGTTCAGTCCATCCGCTCGATTGACTGCCCCATGCCATCCACTGTGAGGGTTAGCCGATTCAGAGTATCGTCTATGGATTGCAAAGAGGCCTTGGCGGGAGCGGGGGCTGGTGCACGACTTGGGCCTGCGCCGTCCCGGTCTCCGGACTTCTTCCGGAAGGTGCTGTCTTGAATTATCCAAATCTTTGTCATCTTCGTATCCGGGCCGGCGATGGAGATGTCGGCGGAGATGATGAGGTCCATGACGAGGAAGGCGTATGGCAAGCTCCGCTCAGTGGCGATGGAGGCGCAATCCGCCATGTGGATCATCACGAATTTTGCCCAATTGATGGAGGCGCCGTGGATGATGGCATGAATTGCCTTCAAGTCCTCGTTGAAGAGCGAGGTATGGCTGCTGTCCCGGGGGCGGAGAATCCGGGTGATGATGTAGAGGAGGAGGCGCTTGTCCGGTGGGGCCGAGTGAATCGTCGGTGCGCCGCTGTGGCGGATCAAGTTGGTGATCCCAAGCTCACGAATGACAACCGCCTCGTTGTTGAGGATCCAATCATCGCCACCATAGGTTGCGATGTCGTCACCGCGGATGGGCAGCCCTGCGACCCGAGCAAAGGTAGGCAAATCAATCTCTATGTGGTAGAGATTGATGCTGCTGCGAATGGTGTCCTTCACTAGAGGGGGGTGAATAGTGAGGCACGAGAATGTTTATAAATTTTCGCGGAATAAAAATCGCAGGGATAAAGTAAAGAGCGGAATAAAAAGCGTAAGGAGAGAACACACTGGTTTTACCCTGGTTTACCACATCGTGTGGCTAGTCCAGCCTCCCGAGAGACTCTCTCGAGCTACACTATCAACGTTAAGCTTACGGGTGCTTAACAAACCGTTACAACCTGAGAACTCAAGTCCCACGAGCCTCAATACACTTGCTCGGAGATACCGCACTCCAAGACTTGAACCCGAAGGAATATGCCCTTCCTTTAAAAATGGCTAACGGTCATCAAAACATCGATGTCTAGAAGTCTACATCGATGTTGGGGTGTTTGACTTTCAAAAATGGAAAGATTTTGTCTTAAATAGCCCAACGGTCATTTGAAAACAGCGCTGTTCAACCATGAACATCGCTGTTCAAAAACTTACTGCCCAGGGCTTCTGAAGGCCAACATCGCTGTTGGGATTTCCGACATGCATGTTGGGATGGTTTGCCAGAACCATGGTTTGGCA